CCTCCACACTTCTTTGGCCTTGGAAAATGCACAGACAAGACTTTAAATATTTACACTCGGAGCAGACCTGTTATGATAGAATAACATGTGTTCTACAGTGTGCATAAAACACGATCGCATTACCACTGCTAGTGAGGCAAGCACCAACAGCTAGCATTTTTAAATCACGCTTGAAAACTCACTACTTCAACCTAGCATATACCACATAATTATGGACCTCACTTACATCTGCACTGTTTAAAAATGGACTTCACAATATCAACTTCCGTACTATTGAGGTTCTTTTTTTAAATGTTTTTCTAATTTTTTATTCTCCCTGTGTCTTATTGATTTTTAGCTGTTAGTTTGGGGAATTTTGTTGTATTTCCTTTTTATCTTTTATCTGTGTTCGACATGTTTGTATAACGCCGGTTTAATTAACTAACATTTTTAGTGTACAGCGCCTTGTTTGGTTGTAATGCCTTGTTGAATGCGCTTTATAAATAAAATTGGATTGGAAGATCAGTGGTCATAATGTTTTGGCCGTCAACTAGATGGAAGTCATACAGATCTGCAAATTTCACCTTGAATTCATCTGAGGAAAGGCAGATTGTTTATCGCTCCATATGACGAATGACTCTGGATCTTTGACCAGACCCTGAACGCACCACGGCCCCCTCACCCAGAGCTCTGTTGAACACGTGCTTTTCTTGGTTCCCTTTCCTCCTGTGGAGATCCCAGAGAGCTTGTTGTCCTTGGACACTGTTGCCAAAGCAGCATCAGAAGGGAGTGTGTGAAACTGAGCTCCAGGAGCTGTTTCATCACACAGTGAGACAGAGGTCTCTGGGTGGATGTCTCTGTTCGTGTTTGATTGCACTTTGATTAGAACGTAACGTCAGAACATCTGCTTTATCGCTCGTTCACATTTTATCATCAGATTAACTCATGATGTGGTTTGGATCTGTATTCAGGTCTGCAATACTTTACTTTTTATTCACTGCTTTAACTAATCTACAGAATGTTAAAAACTGGAAAATGCTCTTCATGAAAAACAACAAATGTTTTATTTGATGGAGTCTAAATTAGAAATAAGAAGCACAAAAAGACAAATGGGGGAGGTGGTCATAAAAGTGGAAGCACATGAATTAAAGAGAACAGAGCTGAGGCGTGTTTTTCTCATTTAGCAACTGGCCTGTTTTTCATTCTGCTTTCAAATCTCACTCTCTAGAAGAAGTTGGGGTTTTCATTTCATCCCCAGAACCCTCATGCTGTAGTAGAGCTATCATGAATATGGGTGTGGTATGTAGAAACAGGGATGCAAAAATATTAAGCTTCAACTATTTTACTTGCTCTGGTGCATGAGGGAGATTTAACACAATCAATAAATCTATTAAAGAAAACGTAATCCACTTTAGTTCCCTTAATCACTTAATTCTCTGTATAAGCTTCTAAAATCAAATATTAAACTGTATCTGATCTGACAGCACGTGGATAGAAACCAGTCCAGCCACTCTTTCTGTTCTTCTAAAACTAAAAGAGTGATTGGGTGTTGCTCTACACTTAGTTGAGCCCCTGGATCAAGATCAGGGTTCCTAAATAAAAGTTTAAATACAGAAACCCTAAAAATCTGAGGCTGATTTCTTTTTCTTTTTTATATGTTTGTTGAAGTGTTTTTGTCCTGTGTTCACACCAATATTGCAACTTTTCCCTGTATCAAAATTAAGAATTTGATTTGTTTCCTTTCTGATCTGTTTGATCTTTGTGGTTTTTCAACCGTGCAGTGACTCATAATAACCACAAGAGGGAGACATATCTAACCCCAGAGTTTATGTTCACTGCTGTGATAAATACAAATAGCAGACTTCTCAAAGCAATGTTTAACTTTTTTTACTTTTGTGCAAATAAATCATGGTAACATTGCAACAACTTAGCATTTAATCATGATTTATAAATCAGATTAATTATAAAGAAAAATCCTGCAAATTACCTGCAAATGCTTCTACAAATGCTTTCCCATGTTTCACATTAAATATATCTATATATATTTTTTATAAGTGGAACTGGTTTGAGGAAATTCCAGAAAACAGTTTTCAGATTTAAAATTTATATTTATCAAGGTCGAATATGAAATAAACGTGGATTTTATTGCAAAGGAAATGTTTTAAAAATTGTATTTTTTAATATGGCTGTTATTTATTTAATTTGAATTACCTCAAGACACATTTTACCTTGCCCACTGTTAGCTTGTACAACCCTCTCTTTTCAGTGGACTGATGAAACCACTCCTGTTTCATACAAACAAAAGTGAGGCTGGTGTCGGTAATCCAAATTAATCCTGGTTTACTCTCAGGCTGTAATGTAACCTAAGAGGGGATGCTAAAACCAATTAATTAAAAAAACTATCTAAAGCTGAAAACCTACTTATCTGTGTGCATTCACCTTGCCTTTTCACATTCTTTCATGAAAACATTTAATTTAGCTCAACATTACAGCACAATTACAAAAACCGTAGCAACACCCCACTAAAACTACTAAAACATGATGGATGATGGGTCTGGAGGACCAGGGTTGGAAAACACTGCTGCACAGCATGATGCTGCACTGCCAACGGACAATAGATACCAATAGAATTAGCATGTATTAGGAACTACTCGCTGCATGCAGTCATTAACGTTGTACGGTTGTTTCATTCATAAAAAGTTCTTTTTTATAGATTAATGTTTTAAATAAATGACAGAGCAACATTCCCCTTATGTTTACTATAAGGTTGGGCAGGAAAAAACAGGAAAATTGGTCAATGTAATATACAGCTGCAGAACCGAAGGCAAATTAGCTAAACGCAGGGGGAACTATTTCTTTGCATTTAACCACCTACCCCAGAGGAGCAGTGAGATGCCATTAGTGTAACGCTCTGGGAGTTTGCTGCCCAAGAACACTTCAGCACATGACCTTCGGGGGCCTGGAGTCAAACCATTTAACTGCTGATCAGTGGACATCCACTCTCCCCATTCAGCTATAATTAAAGATTTAAATACATTTCCAAACAAGAAAACCATTTAGCTTAGCACAGTGGCTGCAGTGAATGTTCTAGTTGTTTCTCTGTTCCAACACACCTGATTACATCTTTGATTTACCTCATCAGATGCTGTTTAGCGACCAATGAAAAAGCCAATCATAGGAGAGCCCTTCTATCCAATCAGAGGCAAGAAAGGCGGGACCTACCTCTAACATCTTGCATTTCACTAATTCGCCTTTGGGTCTGCCACCTTAAGCCTAGTTCATACTTCTCTGTCAGCAGCTTTTCGCTCACACGCACACTTATTGACAGAGGCGTTTTCCTTTCATACTTCTCCTTTGGTGTGTCAGCGTTATGGAGCAATTCTCCTCCAGGACAGCAGAGGGCATAGCACTTTTCTGGTGCATCCTGCCATCAGTGCAGTCACGTCTCTAGTGTGCTAATATTGTGTTTTTGTATTTTAGAGGCTTTTTAACACGGACATGTGCGCTCCACTTCTCTATGCAGTCACCATCTCTAAACTCATGTTACCTGATAAGTAAAAGGTTTGCTGCATACTCATTCAGTCACGTGTGCATAAACATTTATGTCGTCTGACATTTTCTGCAAGACATTGTTCAGTCTGTCACTAAATATGCTCTGCTCTTGTTTTATTTATTTATTTATTTATTTGGAGGTGGAATGGCAATGCTGTTGATGAAGTTAACCCTCTGGAGGCAGGCGTTGCAGATTTGCAACAGTTAAAACCTTCCTACCTGGTTACTCCACATAAGTATTTCATGAGCATTTTTAAGTCAGAAGTTCCCCTGAAGGACTTAGTTGTTTGTCCTTTCATCAAAACTTATTTTGAGCCTGAGAGGGTTAAAGGAAGCGGCACTCTGACCAGTCACAGGTGTGCGGTCTCACTGCTTTTGACAGATAAGTTAGAAAAGTGGGCTGTACGCTGTCCGTTCTTGGGAGCTTGTTGGAGAGCCATTACCACAACGGATGTTGATGCATGTCTCCACACCAATATAGATGAAGAAATATAAATAGGCTTTATCCATCTAAGGCCCTGTCCACACGTAGCCGGGGATCTGCCAAAACGTAGATATTTTTCTACGTTTTGGCCTGTCATCCACACAAAAACGGAGTTTTTTCACACGAAAACGGATCTTTTTAAAAACTCCGGCCAAAGTGAAGATCTGCGTTTTCTCCGTTTTGGGTGTCTGCGTGTGGACGGACAAAACCGGAGTTTTAAGGTCCGCAACGTCACTTTCCGCGACAAAAAATGCTGACATCACGTGTGCGACCTGTGTTTACACTAGCCGACATCATGGATACCCTCAGAGCTGCGCTCGCTTTATCAATTGTCCAAGCGCTTTTTGCTTGTTTGTTTTTGCAAGCGGAATTACTGCTCCTTACGGAAGACCACAGATGAAGGACGAGGTTAAGAACGGGGGAAGTACTGCCGCCTACAGGTCTGGCATGTCCTTAACAACGTATTTATCCGGGTACGTGTGGACAGAGTTTGTTTTTAAAACGCGGTGGTGTGGATGCAAGTTTTTGGAGGGGCGGATATTCGTTTTTAAAAAAACCCGGCTACGTGTGGACTAGGTCTAAATTAGCTGACTTCCTGTTCACATGTTCACACTCTGGGTTACTGGAAGACAACGTAGTCCCACACACAGGACCAAATCAGTTTACCCAGAAATAAAATTCAACATCAGATTAACGTTTACATAATCAATAAAACAATACTACATTTAACAGAATTCAACAAACATCCTTGATCTGAACTAATCTCTGTTTCTCCGTACTGAGGCCATTCAAAGATCCATCCACAATAAGTCAGACGCTGATCAACTTTCCATATAACTCAATTTTAAAAGATGTGATCTTGTTGTCGTGTTTTTTCTTATGGACTCTTAAATGGGATCTAAGTTATTTCCGTAAACAAATCCCACACATTTGGAATTTTCGGGGATTATTTTCAAGATTTTATGACCCCACCCCCTCCCACGCTGTCGATGTGGGCGGGGCTTGTTTAGGTGTAACTTCTCTTCCGCGTTTACCTAAACTCTAAAGAAAAAGGCGGTAATAAAAGACACAAACGCGACGTAAACATCTGTATTTCTGTCCGCGCACGATGCCGAGGGGTGGCTAGAGGGAGAAAACAAAACAAACACAAAAAACTGAAAGCACAAAACTTCTGACGAAGAAGACATTTAAAGTTGTGTTTCCAGAAGTTTGTTCCGATGGGGTGTTGTGGCAGCTCGGAGGTAAGTCGGACAACTCTTTAGAGATCTAAAAGTCTTATTTCAGAGGGTTTAACATGACCGTGGCCTGCATAACGTCACGTCTTGGCAGCAGCAGCAGCTTCTCTTTGTTTTGAACAACTCAGTTGCTTGTTTGTCTGCAGACTTTGTAGCAGCAGGGAGGCTAGTGGGACCAAAACAAGCTAATAGCTCCTGTTTCTCATGTCTCGGCAGGGTAAACGTGAGTGGAAACCTCTGGAGGACCGCAGGTGCACGGATATATTATGGCTCATTATATTCAGCCTGTTCTGCATCGGGATGGTGAGTAGTTAAAGTGATCTTTTTTTTTTGTGTGTGTGTGTGTGAGAGAGAGAGAGAGAGAGAGAGAGAGAGAGAGAGAGAGAGAGAGAGAGAGAGAGAGAGAGAGAGAGAGAGAGAGAGAGAGAGAGAGAGAGAGAGAGAGAGAGAGAGAGAGAGAGAGAGAGAGAGAGAGAGAGAGAGAGAGAGAGAGAGAGAGAGAGAGAGAGAGAGAGAGAGAGTGAGTTTGGTTTGCCTGATTTCATCTATTTCCTTTTAATAATTCACAACCTTTCATCTTTGTTTCTATTGAAATATTTCTTTGAGACTAGATCAGTTTAGCTGCATGTTAGTTCCTCCTCACGGGTCTTTTATGATGGAAACGCTCAAGTCCAGCTACTCACGAGTCCTTTCATACATCAAGACGAGGCAATTGAAATGTTCGCTGACCAGAAAGTCAAAAATTCCCAAAATTATTTGAAGTGACCCACACCCCCCCCCCCCCCCCAAATCCAAACAGCTAAAAGTCACATTATAAATGCACCATTTTAATCAAAGGATGACCATGTTGTGTAAAAGGAGCTTTAAACGGTTGCAGGTACAAGACAAAGTGTCTCAAATGTATTTTTTACCAAATAAATTTTTTTTTAAATTTATTATATCTCTTAAAGATATGGACAGTGGTTTTGAGTATGAATAAATGCCTTGTGGGTCGTACTCTTGGCAGAAGCACCTGAATCAGTCTGAAGAAGTCTGCTGGAGCTGAGTGGCAGAACACAACAGGATCTGGAGTCTTTTTTTATTTTTATTTCTTCTGATATTGTGACAACTCTAACCTGGCAGTAGCCAGATCTCTGTGGAGCCCCGCCCCGTGTCCAGTCTACACGCTTCAGTCTGGAGTCTCTGCAGCAAAAACCGTCTGAAAGAGGGAGGACTATCCGGTAGAATATTTAGAGCTGACTGGAGGACACGGGTAGTGCCCAGCTGGCACTGGCTACCATATTTGGCCTGCAGGCAATCACAGTAACTCAAATGATGTTTACCATGCGTGCCTGGAAAAAACAACAACAACTTGCTCAAGCTTCAGTCATTCACTCACGTGGCAATTACCATGTCTTTGGGTGATTTCTGCCAGTTTTGTGCATAAAGGGCAGGGCTTCCCCCAGCACTGTACAAGCCTGGCGGCTGGTTGAAAAATACTTCCAAAATGAATGTTGAACCGACGTCTTTACTGGCCGTGACGTTGTCTCATTTAGACATTTAATAATTAAAATTTAGGCTTCTCATTACTTTATTATTGTAAAATAAAATATACCATTACTGTAATAAATTATTATTAATGGAATAAAAATGAATTTCCGAATGCCATCTGAATGGAAAACTCGTATGTCCCTGTCTGGTTTGGAACCTGAGTACTCCGTATGTAAGGAGGATTACCAGTTGAGCTATTTCTTTGACATGAAGTCATCTAGTGGATGTCACAACTGATTCACAACATGCTGTTTGTTAAACTACACGTAACTAGTTTGTCAAAATAACAATTATACATGTAGCTGAAAACGTAGAAATATAGCTGAATGGATTTTTAGGGAATTTTCTGTTGCATATGTTTTAACAAATCTAGGATGTCCCGCCGTGACTATTTTTGGCCATGGACCCCGTATTACCGTCGTGACTATAGGGAGCCGAAGTCCCTTCCGCATCATGGATCCCCGGAAGAACGAAAAAATGAATGCAAGTCAACGGGGCTAAAAACGTTAGTTTCTAGTCCGCTTTACCTTACGCCCTGGGTCGCACATGTGTTGTACTGCAATTTAAATGAAAAGTAATGATGCGTGTTTCGACCATGCCAGTCACGTACTTTGAGATTTATTCGCTTGTAAAAGTTCGTAGTTAGCATGACTACAAACTAGAAATCAGCACGTCGCATATGTGACGTCACCACATAATCTCCTCTCCCCAAAGTAGCTTCTACTTACCAAATGACCAGATTTATGGTGGTTCTTTCCTCCTGTGGGAAGTGTGCCGAACCTTCAGCCATTTTCCTTCAGTTTTCTTCGTGTCTGGTTCGATGACGTCACTTTAGTGAAGCACATTTGTAGTCCTGGACTTATTTTCACACAAAACCTAAAATATTGTCGTCCCTCGTTCGAAAATAAGCACGTACTTGGTATAAAAATGTTTCTTTAATATTCACGGACATCATATGTGAAATCCATGGCACAAAACAAGTGGAATTAGAAAATAGCGTTTTTAGCCCCATTGAGTTGCATTAATTTTTTCATTCTTACAAGGACCCGTGATGCGGAAGTGACTTAAGCTTGGTTTATGCTTGACGCATTTACTTTCCGCTTGGTGATGCGGCTCGCGGATGGAACGCGCTTCACAACTTGCAGCGTTTATGGTTCGTGCGGCTCGTCTCTGCGGTGAGCCAATATTCTCCCAAACTGTAGGGGGCAGCATGGAGCTCTACGGCATGCATCCAACACTACACCATAGTAGAAGTAGAAATTACTGTTGTTTACAACATGGCATTCCAGCATTTTTTTAACGGCGTCCTCATCTTTTATGACAGTGCGAGCTATTTCTCTCCAAGAATTATTAACAACATGCTGATCACGGTGATCTTTGAGAGCTGAATCATACAAATGTCTGTATTTACGAACCTCTGCCATACTAGTTCTTGCCAGTCCGCCATGTTTTTCTGCGTCCGACCTTCGGCGTGGTTAGAAAATTTCCTAGGTGCGCGGTGTGGAAAGTTTGGGTCGTGTGGAGGCGCGGTGGAGGGGCGTGGCTGTTAAAATGACGCAATTTTGCCGTGCGAACCTCGCGGACGCGTCAAGCATAAATCCACCTTTAGACTCCCTATTGTTTGCTGTTTGTTTGATCGTGTCCACAGGGACTACTGTTGAAACTAAAAACACATCAGCTGTTTTTAAAGCTGTTGATGCTGGTGGGGCTAACTAATTAGGTAACTGCTGTCACTGTGGGGAATTTTAAGCTTCTCTTGATTCAAAGGGTCATCATCTCCCCTCTGTTTGACTACGTGGTACTTTAAAAGTAAATTATTTTAATGACCTATAATTCACTTTCAATAACTCTATTAATAAAATGTAAGAAAATAAATAAACTTAAAAAATAATGTACTGTTCATTACAGCTGCTTTATCAAATTCACAGAACAAGCTGGGTTTTGAACGCAAACGGACAGAGAACACCCACCCCTCCCCTTATGTTTCTCCCCTGAGACGATTCTGCCAGAACTGGAAACCAGCATTTCAATAAGAAACTAAAGAGCTCAAACACCAGTCATGGTTTTCTAGGTCCAAATGTTTTTTTTTTTTTGTTCGTTTGCTCGTTAAATAACCATTGACAAAGCTCCTCGGATGAGAAGCAAAACGTCTTCAAGAAACCAAAGAAGTCCAGTTGCCTTTATTTGAACCCTTTTGGATTACCATGACCTGGATGACTGAGAACCTTCACCAGCATATAAAATGTGTATTTACACCTTTTTGGTTTTCATCAAAAGTTTGCTTCTGACTGTCTTTGTTGTTTACACGAGTTGTTTTTATTGATTTATTGAACCAATATGTGTCTAAATAAATAAATCACAGTTTGGATGGCAGCTTTCAAACTTCCTCAGATGATTTACAGCAACGCAGCAGTTGTACCAGAGCTATTTTAATCACATAATATGCCAAATGTGGTCACACTAAGAATAACTGCAGCGGCTTGTTTAGATGTTCCTATTACAGTTAGGAAGCATAAAACCAACTGTAGCTCTGTCTGGAGTGGCTTTTCACAGTCCTCCCAACTTTCTGTAGTTCTGTACTGTTGTGTTTTTAAATGTTAAAGGGTACTTTGTCGGTAAAAGTGGATTTTATGTTCTGCATGTCTTATTTTCTTGTATTAACGGATTTGCAAAAATAATGGTTTTGGGTCCCTGAAAGCAAATTAAATGTAAAACAATCCTCTTTTTCAGTGTTGACATTTGTAAGAACTGGTAGAACCTGTTTGTTGTAATCAGAGAAAAGGGGGAAGAAAATCCTCTCTAACATATGCTTGCATGCACGTGGGCTAGTTGTTTAATATTATCTTTCTAAAACCGCCTTAGTTGTTTACTTTATGAGGTATAAAGTTCTCTTCTTTCAAACTTTATCATATAAAGCTTTCTGTTTAATGCAAAAAAATATATACAGAAACAATAAATCATAAGCTTTGGGTGTTTATTTTATTTTTGTTAATAATAATAACCACAGCAAGAGGTTGTGGGCTGAATTAGGCTTTAATGATAGCATGCCTAGCTGATGGATCTCCTTGCTGACAACAAACTTTTCCAATGACCTTTCCTGTGGATACATTTTGAATTTTATCACATCCCACTCTGACTTAATGGTGACAACGCTGGTGGCATATAATGCAAATTGAACGGGGTCTAAATTAGGACCTTGTGGTGTCTCAGAAATACAATTTGAAGAAACCTTTTCTAATTGAACAAGGAAACTCCAGTCTGATGGCATAACTGCATTATTTGAATGGTTGTGCATCTAGCACCAGGTAAGGGCCAAATGTAAAGGTCTCATTCGTTTGTCCTGTCATTAAATTTGTTATGGTCTCTAGTATGAATGAATATCTTGTGAGTCGTTTTCTGTGGGGAAGGGGAAGCTCTGATTTTTATGTTTCAGGGGGTAAACAAAATAAGAATCCGCACACTTCAATATGCGATGTAGGAGTTTATTGGTCAAGCTTTTGTTCAGAGACCTTCATCAGGAATTAGATGATCTACATCGCAGATTGAAGTGTGCAGATTCTTATTTTGTTTATTCCACTTTTTGATCCAGCACCTGTCCCAGACGAGCGGTGACTCCTACTATGTTTCAGGGGGTAAAAATTGGGATGATTGCGGGTGACAGGATTACAAGTCCTGTTAATTAACATTCATGGCATCTTGCCTTTGATTGGCTAACAACAATGCAACTCTTCTCTATTTGCTCCTCTTTCTTGAGTAGAAAATGCAACATTGATTTGTTATCTCCACAATTACCACAAGCTTAAACATGTTTAGCCATTTGGTGGTGGTGTTATTGCTAACAGTTAGCTTCTGTGCCCCAGACAAGCTGGTTCCCAAAGTCAGAGACTCTCTTGGTCAGCTTGTTTCCCACACCAAACCTTCCGTCAGGAATCTTGGCGTGACCTTTGACCCAGCTCTTACCCTGGATTCTAATGTCAGTTCTCTTGTTCACTCTTCCTTCTTCCATCTCAGGATGCAAAGCTGAGTCCCATTCTGTCCCGCTCTGAACTTGAGACAGTTCTCCACACCTTCATCTCCTCACGCTTAGACTACTGTAACTCTCTTTTCACGTGTCTGAGCAGAACCTCCCTGAACCGTCTACAGGTGGTTCAGAACGCCTGTGCTCGGCTTCTGACCAAGTCCTCCAAACACGCCCACATCACCCCGCTTCTCCTCCAGCTTCACTGGCTGCCAGTCAACTTCAGGGTTCATTTCAAGATCCTGGTTCTGGCCTATAGGGCCTTACATGGACAAGCACCATCTTACATTGGTGATCTTCTTAGTCCCTACACCCCCAGCAGGTCCCTGAGGTCCAGTGACCAAAGCCTACTGGTTGTGCAGCACCAGGCTAAAGGTCAAAGGTGACAGATCATCTGCTGCTGTGGCCCCCAGACTCTGGAACTCTCTCCCCCTGAGCCTGAGATCAGTGGACTCAGTGGTCTCCTTTAAAAAGCAGCTGAAGACTCACTTGTTCAAGCTGGCTTTTGTATGACCTTCTTCACCTCTCTCTCTTTATTCTGCTCTCCCCACCTATTCCACCTTCCTCAGGATCCACTGATTTCCCTCTTTCATATTCACTCTCTCTCTCTTTCTTAACATTTTTTCTTTTAAATCGCAATTGCATATTCTTGCTCATTTAAAATATATTTTTAAACATTTTCAAAAACATTTTTTTTTCTATTTTTACAATTTTTATATTTTTTGTTTTTGTTTTAGTGAAGCGCCTCGTGATTTTTATCTTGAGAGGCGCTATAGAAATGATATTTTCTTCTTCTGCTGCTAGAAAAAAAACGTGCTCTGCTCTCTCCTGACTGCTAAATCAACACAGCTTTCCATTCTCACAAGTCAGAGTGGGTGGGGCCATGGATGCTAATTTTCCCTGTGACGTAGAGGGGACCGGCGTTTCCTAACCCGATAGCTTTTTTTTTCTCACCTATGTCTTCCCTGTGGCTAATGGAGGCAATGGGGGTTGAATAAAACTTTAATGTTCAGTATTCACATGCAACTCTGAGTGAGTGATCGTATTCCAAATAGCACATGCTTTCTCCATGAGAGAAGCCATTTAGATCCACCATCACTGGGAAACCATGATTACCAGAGTCAACCATAAAAAAGAAAATATAGTAAGTTGAGTTGCCATTCTCTGCTTTTAACCTTTTTCTGTAATCTGTTTGTTCTGCAGTGGTGTATATGTGGTTTTGCCATCGCCACAGGAGGTGCTTCCCGGCTCATCTATGGGTATGACAGCTACGGCAACACATGTGGACGGAACAACACCAAGATCGAAGGAGTACCTCTCAGTGGTGCAGACATGACAGAAAAAAAGTTAGTCTAAGCTTTTCTTTTATGCATCCAGTCTTTTATTTTGATACATTTTAGAGCTCATTAACACAATTTCAAGTAAATTACATGCATAAAGTCATATAAAATAGTTTTTTATGAGTGCTTGACATCTCTCGGGTTTAATCTTTCCATGAGCATAAAGCCAGAAGGGCCAATCTCACTAACACAATGGGGAATGTTATTTTTAATGGGCCGATTGCCCATGAAGGCTCTGAATAACAAGCGTCTTTAGCAACAAAGAAGAGTCTGTCCAGTGGGTTAGCAAATGTCAACAAGTTTAATTTGCTATTCTGATAAATAGGCCCCAAATGACACTGTAAAAGTCAAATATAGCTAGATTTCAAACTAGGGAAATGTGATTCCTGTTTAGTATTTCATGGTAGCGATGCCCCTAAACGGGCAATAAACCCACAAGTCTAATTTTGTGGATTTCAGGTATGTTTTCTTTCTAGACCCCTGCAACCTTGACTTAATCAACAGGAAGATCAAATCCATCGCCTTGTGTGTCTCTCAGTGTCCAGCTGCTGAGCTGAAGACGTATTACGATGTGAAAGATTTTGCTCTTAACAATGGTAAGAATAATGCTGAAGTGGAAATACTGCATATTGCTGTATAAATGAATCTGATTGATTGATATTCAAACTGGTTTAGTGTTGCAACGACTTTTTCAATGATCTTACAATGCCCGGCCCAAAAAAGAGTTGCCACCTTGATTTATCTCCTATTGAACAATTCCTGCATGGGCGATTATCTTTCATTTATTTATTTATTTAACCCCAAATAGTGCAATGAGTTGCTTCCCATTACTTAACCATGTGGAAAGAAATATCTGGTGGTCGTGGAAAAGATGTTAGTCTGATAGAGAAGGGTCAGATCATTGGCGTGCATCAAGCACAGGAAACATTTAAGGAGATTGCAGAAATCAATTGGATTAAGAACTGTCCTGCACATTATTAAAAACATCTGAGTCCAGAGTGTTGGGAGCATCAGGGTAAGAAGAGAGGCAGATGACAGGGTATCCGCGGGTCCTTAAAAAGTCTTAAATTTGCTTTTCCAAATTTAAGGCCTTAAAAATCCTTAAAAATGATAAATAATCCTTAAATACAGTTTCCAAAGGTCTTAAATTACCAAAGACCCAATTAATAAGACACTTTTATTTCTTTTTTTTTGTGTGTGAATTTCTAGTTTGTGTTCAGCATTTTTTGTGTATGACATTTGCATAAGTGGAACCGTACACATTCAGTTGGTTGTGAAAAGGGGCTGTTTTTAGATGAGCACATTAGCTGGTTAAGCTAGTGGGAGCTTGCGCCATGGGGAAGTGCAAGTTTAATGGCATCTAGATGGCTAATCCCACGTTCGCAACGTGGTTAGCACCGGTTCCAGGCAATAGCTGGAAATTATAATTAAATTATTAAATTTAATTGAAAAAAAAGCTTAAATTTGGTCAAAGTGGCCTTAAAAAAGGTCTTAAAAAGTCTTAAATTTGGCTCCCTTAAGCCTGCAGATACCCTGGATGAAGTGATGCACCCATCATGACTAGTGCCTTTTTTACAAGCCTGTGGGGGCAGTGTTATGATCTGGGGTTGCTGCAGTTGGTCAGGTCTAGGTTCAGCAACAGGATGTGCTCCAAGAATGAGGTCAGCTGACTACCTGAACATCCTGAATGAGCAGGTTATTCCATCTTCCCTGATGGCACAGGTGTATTCCAAGATGACAATTCCAGGATTCATAGGGCTCAAATAGTGAAAGAGTGGTTCAAGGAGCATGAGACATCATTTTCACACATGGACTGGCCACCACAGAGTCCAGACCTTAACCCCATTAAGAATCTTTGAGATGTGCTGGAGAAGACTTTGTGCAGCGGTCAGACTCTACCATCACCAATGCAAGATCTTGGTGAGAAATTAATACAACGCTGGATGGAAATAAATCTTGTGACACTTCAGAAGCTTATCGAAGCAACACCACAGCGAATGCACGCTGTAATCTAAGCTAAATGCGGTCCAGCGAAATATTAGTGTGTGTGACCTTTTTGGTGACAACTTTTAGTTTTGGCCGAGCAGTGTATTTGCCCAATTACACATAAGTAATACATTAATTGTACATACATTTTAAAATATTTTTGTGAAGCTCAACTTGTGATTTATTTATTTTGTTCCTAGGCTCTAACCTCTGCTCCTATGAAATTACTCCCACAAGATATCCAACCAGTCCTGATCGACTCACTAAATGTCCAAAACTCCCTGTTCTACCAAGGTAATCAAGTTCATGCTTTTGGTTTTCTTTTTTCTTCTTCTTTTTCTTTTTTTTTTTCTCGATGGATCAGTAAATTATTCAGCATATACAGCTGGAGAAACAAGGGTTTGGTCAAAATAATGGCTATTATTCATGCAAACATTATTTTTTATTTTAAGCTTGTTTTCTGAGTCACTTTTTTGAGTTATGTTTTTCGCAACCAATTCCTAGAAAAGATGAAAAGAAACAGTCTCTTATGTTATTAATAAACGCATATCTGAATGTTACATTTATGGAGTGCTGTGAAAAGTGCTGGCCCTCTTATAAAATTCTTCTGTTTTTGCTTTTTTAATGTTCCTTAAATCTTTTAAATACACAAATTTCATTTTCAGACACAGATAACCTGACTAAATTCAAAAGGAAGTTTTCAGTTGAGGCTTTAACCCGATAAGGGAAAATGCTATTAAAAAGAACTATTTGGCTAGATTTCCCATCTCATTAAATCAGAAATTAGCCATCATTAATGACAATATTTAGAACTCTTAGTTTAGTTTCACCAGCCTCACCCAGGCCTGATTAGTGCCAGACCTGTAGACTTAATATATATCTTCAAAATAACCTGACAACATAAAGTAGGCTAAAAGATCTCAAAACACAAAAGATCATGTCCTGTCATGTCTAAAGAAATGGAAGACCATAAGAACCCAGAAAACATCTAAAGCTCTGCAGGCATCAGTTGGTTCAGGTTGATGTCAGAGGTCATGATTAAGAGAGACATGGGGGCAGAAATGACCTCATAAACAACATAAAGACTGGTCTCATACTGGGCGACCCCTAAGGCTTTTAGAAAATATTCTCTGGACTTACTAGACAAACGTGGAACTTTCTGAAATGTGTGTCCTGATTATAAGCCATTATTCAGACGGACCTACCAACAGTCAGACATGGTGGTGGTAGTGTGATGGTACGGGGCTGCTTTGCTGCTGCAGGACCAGACCCACTTGCTGTAACTGATGGAACCCTTAACTCATTTACGAACATTGCTGACTCGCTGGCGCTGCCTTTGATGACTAAAGTCATCAATTGCATTTTTTTTACTGGGCGGCCGTCGGAACGAGCCCCCGCACTGTGAGAACAAACATGGCGGCTCTAAAGCTGATCTTGATTCATGTGGGTGTGTCACATGTCACGTGATCAGGAAGCAGAAAATTCATGTATTAGGAGGTCTTTTTGGGCCGTTGCTGTGAAAAAAGAGGCGCAAAAGGGAAAAGCTTCTGCTGCTCACAATTCACAAAATGCTGGCAGTCAGGGGATGTTCTGATCAGGAAACGGCTGGCAGTGAATGAGTTCAAATGCCCATAAAAGGTTTTTCATGCTGGAAAACCCTCCGATGTGGCTGAATTCAACAATTCCGTAAAGGCTAGTGGAACAAACGCCCTCCACAGGGAAATGAGCGACTCATTACCAGTTATGAAAAAATGTGTAGCTGTTCGATGTTATCTGTCTACCATTAATATCGGCTGATATCTGCATTAAAATTTCTTATCGAAAAATACTGGTATCGGTTTTCAGTTTTTTTATGACACAAATTTTACACACCATTGTACATCAAACTCTTCAGCTACTCTCCCCTCCCCCCCTCAAAACGTCAAAATATGACCGATCAGAGGTAAGGTTTTTGAGATATCTTCGTTTATTTGGCACAGCTTGTGAAGTAGAAATGTGTCCTGTGTAGTGAACAAATGCTGTCCACACAGCACGTAGCTATGTGTAGTTAGACAGCTAGCAAATGAGTAAAACAAAAACAAGAATCTTCACCCAAGATTTGCTGTAATTCTAATATACAGAAAAAGAAAACATACATTACACACATCTTAGCATCACGCTTGGAGAGATTGAGACTCAGCTGCTGCTGGAGACGAGTAGTTGCCCCTTTTTTTTATGAAAGGAGATGTGTGCTGTTAGTAACCTAAAATGTTTTAGTTTTTCTTTTTTTGTGAGGGGGACCCAGCGTGTATCGGTATTGGTTTATATCGGTATCAGAAATTAAGAGTCAGGCAATCTCGGATATCGGTAAAAAGACAGTATTGAGTATCCCTAAAAAATGGATATTAGTTGTTGCCGCCAGAGGTGCTGGAACCATTTATTAGGTTTTGGGGCAAATACCTTTTCACAGTACCTTACTGTAGTTAGGGATGTCCCGATACAACTTTTTCACTTCCGATGCGATACCGATATTGCAGCCTTCAGTACTGACAGATTGTGATGTCAATCTGATATCAAGCACAAATCATACATACTTTTACCTATTTCATAGTGTGGAATGTATGAAAGGCTTTGTTCAAGTGATATTACTCAATCGGAGAACAAGAGCCAATAACAGTAAGTATGAAAAAAATAATTTTTTTTCTCAACCATTGGTTGCAAAAATGTGAACCTTAAAGGAGTGCTTATATCGGAGATTTTTGATGCCGTCCGATATAATCCCATGCACTGTTTTTGGGCCGATATGGAATTACTTCCGATATCGGAACGGTACATCCCTAATTGTATTCTACCATAATTATAATATTCTGCATCAAGGCTTCTGTTCCTGTTTTCCAGTAAGGCCATCCCAGTGTTCCACCGCTGTATTCCTGCAGACCTTGGCTGCTATGTCGAATTTGCTCAAGCCTTCATCACATTTGTTAGTGACAACACTGCGCTGAGGCGAGTCGTTGCTGGAGTGGTGACCAGCAAGGAAATCATCATGGGTCTCTGTCTCCTGGCTTTAGGTATTACACTTTTATTACATCAGCATCAGTGGGTATTTCAGTCGTTAATAAATTATCTTTAATCCAAAGAAACCTCCACTGGTGGATTAGGTTTTCTGCTGAACACTGTTTTGTAGGAAGGAAACAGTTGGAAGGGAAGCTATTTTTGTCAGTTGAGTAAAAACTAGAAAGAAAACAGGAAATGTCTGAGTGGTTACAGACACTGAAGTTTCGCCCACGGGCATCAACCTGAGGTCTGATCCGAGTTTTCCCATCAGACAGAACTAATCCCACAATGGTTTCGCCTTTCTTTTATCTCTTCCTGGTTTGATTTTTGGGATTCACAATCAAATAGAATCTTCATTTGTGGATCACCCTTAGAAATGTAAACGTTACTGGTACAGCAATAGGTCTACAGTTAGTATTTTGTTATTAAGACTAAAATAAAATGGTTGTGAACAAATTAAATGGACATTTTTCCATTGGATGCTCTTTAAATACACTCGTATATTTTTTCTTCCTTAATCCAGTTTTGTCCTTGATCATGATGGTTGTTATTCGCTACATCTCCACAATACTGGTATGGATTCTCACCATCCTTGTAATCATCGGCTCCATAGGTAAACTATTTACATGTTTATTTGCATGACACTGATCCAAAACGGCGTCGTGTTTGGGTTCTCTTTGAACCACGCCCATATGTGACCTGTTACAGGTGGGACGGGTGTCCTCTGGTGGCTCTACGCCGACCACAGGAACGCTCTCAACAGTAACACCACATCCGTGTTTGGGAAAGAGGTGGCTTCTGACAATGTCAAGGCGTTGCTGGTGTATTCGATTGGTGCAACCATTTTCACGGTATGCGTCCATTCACCGGGCTTTTTTTGGGGCTTGTTTATGTAAAAGGAAACCAGTAACTGTCAGACTAAAGAAACGAAGATTTGTTGTGTCACCTTTGTAGGTGATCCTCCTGCTGGTGATGTTTTTCATGAGAAAGCGTGTGGCTCTTACCATCTCCCTGTTCCACGTGGCGGGTAAAGTGTTTATCCACCTGCCCTTCCTGGTCCTGCAGCCTTTCTGGACTTTCCTGTGCCTCATGCTCTTCTGGGTTTACTGGATAGCTGTGCTGCTCTTCCTGGGGACCTCAGGTGAGGAGCAACCCATCCTGAGAACTGTGAATGTTTGGTTTTCTCCACAATGTGGAAGGCTTTTCTGATTTGCATTTGCTCCAAAAAAAAAAAAATCCTCCCAAACAATTCAAAGTTTGTGGCTTTTTCGTCTGGCCTCTGTGGCGTGACGGAACTCCCACATCTGGAATGCTGTGCCAGCCTCGTGATGTGATGAATGCAGATAAAGAACCACTTCCCTCTTCATCTCCCACTTCTCTTTTCTACTGGAGATTTGAAAATTGTAATTAAAGCACAAGGCCAGCATGAGAGACAAAGTGACAAAGTCTTTGTGCGGTGGTGTTTTTAATAGCATCGTTTTGTTTATTTTTAATTGTGTTTACAGCTTGCTCTTGAAGGCTGGGAAGACGATCCTGAAAAAAGTCGTTCAAGGAAGATATATTTAGAAACTCCACTCGCTACTTCCGCCCAGGCTACGTAACCTTATAGCAATTTAGTGTGTTGGCTAATATCGTCCTGCTCTAGCTTAACTTACTGCTTGGCTGCTCCAAGCCAAGAATGCTCAATTGGTGCACAAAGATGGGTAAGAGTAAAGGGCAGAGGGATGGTGCTACAATTTGGGTTTACTTTGAAGGATGTTCAACTTGGCGGGCCTTGTGTAAGAACTGGTTAAGATTCAACTTCATTAACTCGGCTTGTGAGTTAGTTTCTTTTTGCTGAGAATCAAAATAAGAGTTCGGATTAAATGGGCTGGTTCAAACTTTAATTTGAAAGGTTCCCCATCATGCTATTTTAAACGTTTGAGAGCAAAGGTAGGCAGAGTATAAGATAAAATATTACTGTTGGCACTATTGAGACGTCATTTATCATAAATGCGAGTTATTTTTGTCAGCCTGAATTTATACCCAGAAGTTAGACGGTTTGTTTCAGCGAATTTCCGCCCATGCCCGCTCCAATAAATTGTGCCTACAACAGCGTCTTAAGCCTGATTCATGCTTCTCCGTCTGCGTCAGTGCGGAGACACGCAACGTCCTTGCGTGCCTGCAGGAGAGCTCCGCAAGGACGGACGGAGTCGAGCTCTCTTTTCTAAACATCCGTCAGTCGAGACGGACAACGCAAGCTTGTGATTGGTCAGGACGCCGCTGTCGTTTACACCGCCGCCATTGCGCCCTCAAAAACATAAAGAGAGCCGAGGATAACAAGCGGCAGACACGGAGAAGCTTGAAGAATACCTCTCGAAAAAATTCTAAAAATATGAACGTTTAATTCCCGCGTGACTGGAGGAGTGAAAAGATGTGCAGCAAGCGTTTTATTTGTGGACGGAAATGACAGGAAACGTGGGTTTGGAGGTGGCGAGCGCACGAAGAGGTGGAGGAGGATGAAAGACAAATATGTCCGTGTTAAAAAGTCTCTTATATACAAAAAAAAACCCACAATATAAACACACTATTTTGGACCGGATACACGACAGGATACCACAGAACAGCGCTACGCCCTCTGTTGTCCTGCCGGGGAATTGCTTTGCAACACTCTCCAGGAGGCAGAGAAGTATGAGAGCAAGACGCTTCCGTCAATCCGTTCGTGTCTGTCCCTTGCAGAGCTGACGGAGAAGCATGACCCAGGCTTAAGGCATGTTGGTTACTGTATGGCTATTGTAGCAAGTAAAAAACAGATTAGTCCTTATATTCTAAACAGTTTACCGATAAAACATTGAAAGCACAATACTGGCAGGTGTAGCTGAAAAATAAGATACGTTGCCTCTGAGATCGGGATGTGAATCAGTGCAAAACTACATGCCAACCTGGTGCTTTGACCACTAGACTACCAAGTCTGTTAAATGACACCAGTCGTCTAAGCCACATGTCCTGTGCTGGGGAGGAGCTGGGCCTGATGATGACATTAGTTTACAGGATTTTCAAAGTAAAACTTAAAATATGCAGCTGCATGAATGCAGCCAAAAGAGAGAGAGAGAGAGAGAGAGAGAGAGAGAGAGAGAGTGTGTGTGTGTGTGTGTGTGTGTGTGTGTGTGTGTGTGTGTGTGTGTGTGTGTGTGTGTGTGTGTGTGTGTGTGTGTGTGTGTGTGTGTGTGTGTGTGTGTGTGTGTGTGTGTGTGTGTGTGTGTGTGTGTGTGTGTGTGTGTGTGTGTGTGTGTGTGTGTGTGTGTGTGTGTGTGTGTGTGTGTGTGTGTGTGTGTGTGTGTGTGTGTGTGTGTGTGTGTGTGCGCGCGTGTGCGCAAAACAAAAGTTGGCCACTAGATGGGGCTGTCACATGTATTAAGTTGAGTCCCGTTATCATGTGACTTGAGGTGGTACAGCTTCTTAACGGGACATGAATGTCGCCAACCCATACACGTCTTTCCATTTCTTTTATTCCTAAATTTATCGACATGGGAAAATGATTCCAGTTAAAATCAGAAATTTTGGTAATGATAAATTTTCAATTCATAGCCCAGCCCTATGAGTGAATAACATCACATGGTAAAAGGCTCCAAAATGTGGATTATCCATGAAATGGCCCCTTTAAAGCTCTGGCCTGGAGCCTATTTTTAATCAATCCAGTAATAAAATTTATTCTTGCCCTGGTCCCTGAAATGCCTTGAAACGGCCCTGGGTGTGGGACTGATCTGAACTGTATCAAATAGATAAAGAGTACATGCTTATAGATTATTGCTTTATAAAGTAAAAAACATGCAGTGGAATAAATCTTATCTACATTTTCCTTTTCCAAACACTTTGTTGTTTATTGGACTATTTTTCTGTCCCGTCTGTCTCTTTTCTTCCTGCATCCTTTCTCAATCCTACAGAAAAACTGCTGCCTGGCTTCCTATATTTTCACCTCCTGAACTAATTTTGAACTAAGCAGATTAAAGGGATCTACCTACTGCAAAGATGGCAGGCTGCGTGCCGGCCGCACCAGTGTGGCACTGGAGCACCAGATGGGTGATGCGCTCTGCAGCGCATCAGGGACACCCATTCGGGTGAGCCGGGCTCCCCCGTAATTTGAAACCTGGTTAGGGCGACGGTAGCAGAGGAGTTAAGTGCCCACCCCATAAATGGAAAGGTTGCAGGTTTGAGCCCACTCTGTCGGTCCTGTCCTTTGGCCAGACACTCAACCCGCCTTGCCTGCTGGTGGCAGTCGGAGGGACCGGTGGCACCTGTGCTCAGCAGCCTCACTCCTGTCAGTGTTCCCCAGAGCAGTTGTAGCTACAATGCTCATCACCACCAGCGTGTGAATGTGTGTGAATGACTGATTGTATTGTAAAGTGCCTTGGGGGGTTGTATAACTCTAGAAGGTGTGATTTCAATACTGGCCATTTAACATTTTAATGTTGTCAAAATCATAAGTTTACGCACAGAATGATTACCTTCTCTCTTTAAACGGTGAGGGAATCCCTGGATGATGTCATAACTGTAGAAACATCTGAGTTGACTGGAGCCATGATGTGTTTTCTTACAGGGACACCGGTTTCAAACTCCACCAACATGGTTCATTATGAAATGCAGGGCCCTCTTCAGTACATGGTCTGGTATCACGCCGTCGGCCTCATCTGGATCAGTGAGTTCATTCTCGCCTTCCAGCAGATGACCATTGCTGGAGCCGTGGTCACTTATTACTTCACAAGGTACCAGACACATGGAAGTATAACGCCGGGGACACACTGGCTGCAGAAGCGCCACAAAAATGGGACCGCCTTCATTCGGCGCCCTTGTTAAGCTATTCCATAGACCACATGGGCCGCCGAAGTACAGCGAATAGCCTCGCGCCGTGCAGCGATCATTTCGGCTTCTGCTCTATTTTTTTCACGAGCCGCGGGTGAATCGCGTCAATTCTGGCAGGAAGTCAAACCTAGACATGGAGCAGGCCGGTAAATTTAACAAAATAAAGCATTTCAAAATAAAATTCCGCAATAGTCAAATGTGTTCGTAATCAGACACTGCAGAAAAACCACACGAACACACACACACACACATATCGAACTTGTGTGCGTGTGTGACCACGTGAAGGGGGTGTGGTTTTGGGTGTCTTTTTTCCGGAGCAAACAGGACAGAGAGGCAGAAAGTCTGAGGCAAGCAGTTAAGATGGATGACTTTAAATTAATTATGGAAGTTGAGAAACACAAGGAGCTGTACGACCCCCGAAAAACACGGTTATTTACGTTCCCATTTCGGAAGAAACTGCTAGGATATAGCTGCAGAATTGGAGCGGGTTCCAAGAGATTCACCTGGCAGAAACAACTGGTTCATACCATAGGTTCACACACACACACACACACACACATGCACAAACACTCAAACGTAGAGGAAAAGAGCTGAGAAAAGGCAGAGAGGAAATGGAGGACACCAAGTGTTTAAAAGAAAAACTACAGCTGAGCCGAGGCGCGCCTCGACTGGAGCGCGTCTGATCTGAACTGAGGAGCGGCCGAAGGTCGTGAGCGATTCGCTTCGCGACGCTTCCACGGCCGGTGTGTCCCCGGCATAATGCCCGCCTTCATTTAATGACATCACATATGATTTTAATGCCATCTCTCTGTAACGCAAGAAACAAGTCCCAGCTGCCCGTAACTCCAATCATCTCTGCTATGATCCGTACCGTCCGCTACCACCTGGGCACCATCGCAAAGGGGTCCTTCATCATCACGCTTGTTAAGATCCCTCGTCTCATCCTAACATACATCCACACCCAGCTGAAGGGAAAAGTGAGCCCGACGTCATCAATCCCAAAACTGTTCTAAGGAGAGCTGGTAGGATTCCTAATGCTTGTGGGTCTCTCCGTGTTCCAGGAAAACGCCTGCGCTCGCTGCATGCTGAAAGCCTGCGTCTGCTGCTTGTGGTGTCTTGAGAAGTGTCTAGCCTACTTGAACCAGGTAATGTTGGAGTAAAATAGTTCATTTAATAAAAGAAGGAATAAAGTTGGTGTTTATGATAAAAATGATGATTTATTGCAGAACGCTTATACCGCGACGGCCATCAACGGCACCAATTTCTGCTCCTCAGCAGCCGATGCGTTTGTGATCCTGGTGGAGAACGCGCTCCGAGTAGCAGCCATCAACACAGTGGGCGACTTTGTCCTCTTCCTGGGAAAGGTATCAGCGGTTTTCCTTTGGTGTGATGGCCTCTGAGTCATTTATAACATTTAAAGTAGGAAAATCTGCCACAACCCGTTATGGAACGATGCTCTGAAAAACGAAAACATGCGTCACATGCTGCCACCAAGTGGCCGTGGATATGTTTGTTCTGTCCCTGTGGCCACGCTCGGCTCGATGATCCAACAAGCTTTGTGTTCTCGTTTTCAGATTCTTATCGTGTCCTGCACCGCTTTCGCCGGCATCCTGGCTCTGAATTACCAGAGGGAGTACACCGTGTGGGTGCTGCCTCTCATCATCGTCTGTTTGTTTGCCTTCCTCGTGGCTCACTGCTTCCTGTCAGTGTTCGAGAACGTGGTCGATGTCCTCTTTCTCTGCTTCGCGGTGGACACGAAGTATAACGATGGCAGCCCTGGACACGAGTACTACATGGACAAGGCCTTGATGGTGAGACGCTTTGTCTCCTGGATTCATGATGAGAATTTAGTCTCTTGCCGGAGTATTTCTTTTATAAGATGGCTCCATCTAGTGGCTGACAAGCATATCACACACAAAGTCTGTCGCTCTGTTATTTTAAGATGGCGACTTCACGTTTCTTGATTATAAATGTGTTTCTGTAGCCGACAAACAGAACTAAAACACGCTTTTTACAAGTATTGTTCTCATGTCATGCTGTGTTTATTTATTTATTTATATTTTAAAGACTTTCTTGTCCGTGAAAAGTTCATCAACTGCATCAGTCGAGGTACTTCCTTAAATTTAAAGCATCCCAGCGGTAGTTTAACGCTATTGGTTAGTTCTGGTTGGAGCTCAGTTTCCTATTGCATGGAGCTCTGCGGGGCAGGGGGCGTGCTTAGCAAATGAAAAAAAAAACAGCGTACTGCTTACGTTATATCACAGTACATGATAAGATAATCACTTTTACGGCTTTCTGAAAACCCATACATAATTTCTGAAAGTAGAAAACTCCGGAAAGCTACTTTAAGTGAACTTTTTATTTAGATTTAAGAAAAACTAAACTTTGATCTCCCTTAAATAAGAAATGTATGGATTTAGAAACCATTATAAATGTCTTCAATTATTCTGCCCTTTTCTGCAGGAGTTTGTTGAGAACAGTAAAAAAATGGGTCAATACAAGCCAGCTGACGGAGATGGAAAAGAAATGAAGCCCATGGTGAGTTAGAAATACTTCTCCACGTGTTTTGGGATGCTTAATTTCATCTGATAAGCAAATAAATGTCTTTATTTCGTCTTACAGACACGTGGGACTTTGGCTTGATCAGGAATCCAACAGACTGACAGAAATAATTAGGACAATATTCAGAGGATTTAATAACTGAAAGTACTTTCAACACAAAGTTGTTTTCAGGTTTGTTTTAAGTTTTAAATATAAAAAGTTGTAACTAATGGAGAATGTGAGAATCTGTCTCGCATTGGTTTGTTTAAACTAATTCTAGAGTGTGTTTTTTTTTTCCTTTTATGTACTTTATAAATCATGTATGCCTTTTTAACATGATTATGTTGTTATATATTTGAAGTTTGGTTTCTGAGGGTTTGGTGAATATTTTAAAATCTCGTGTTTTAATGGTTTTTGCTCATGTTTGTTTTTCACAAAAACGTGTTTGACTTTAGAATGAATAAAGTTTTAATAGATATTTGAAAAAAAAAACGGCTACTGGCTTGTTTTGCATCTGCGTAATAAATCCTAGATTTTTAATTTAGAAGACGGATCATTTGAGAAGATGCAATAAACAAACTAATTAGAAACAACAAATAACGATTTACTCGTTTAAAAGGCTGCAACATCAGACAAGCTTTAAAATCATTCAAAGAAGTATAAATTACTCCACAAGAGGGCAGCAAAGCTCCAAAAAGTACATAACATTTTAACTAGAAATCCTCAAAAGCAGAAATGAATTTAAAAAATCTAAAACGCCGACGGAAATGATACGTTTTTATCTAATTTGAGCTAGAAAATATAAATGTGGGTGAAGTTATTGCTATGTTTTATGAAAGTGTTCTTACTGCTGAACTTCAGATGCTTTTGTTTCTGATGATTATAAACACACACAGTACATTCTCCCCTATAGCAGCAGTAGATTAGAAGAGCTGCCCGCTTCTACGTTCTCCATCAGTGTCTCCTTATCCAATCGATCCCTAGGCTCCTGCCTCGTCCCTTTCAGTTTGTTGAGAAGCCCGGAACAACTAAGCAGTTAGTTGTTATTAATGGGAAGGCTTCTCTGCTCACTGCTGTCCACCTCCATAAAACAAGAGAATCTGGAGGAAAGCTGCTTGATGGACAGCTGGTGAGTCACACCGGGCCGATTTCTAGGAAAACTGACCCTTCCTGGTCCTTGTTACGGAGTAGGATGGACCTGGAGAAGATTTAGTATTATTGACATTTCTAGATGGTTGTTTTGGGGTGAATTATTCATGAAAGTAAACTTGGGACAATGATTTATTTCATTAAAGTTGTATAGTGAAAAAATGTTTGTCTCTGGGACATGTACGTATGTAGTATGTACAAGTGTGAATATGTGTACATATATGTATATACCGGTGAAGGTTCTCAGTCATCCAGGTCATGGTAATCCAAAGGGGTTTGACTGAAGGCAACTGGACTTTCTTGATGACGTTTTGCTTCTCAATCGAGGAGGTTTTTCAGTTCTGACTGGAATGTGAGAGGGTCAAGCTTATAAATTGTAGATGCCTATTAATGCTTAACAATAGTTAATATTTTAAGTTTAAGTATATATATATATATATATATATATATATATATATATATATATATATATATATATATATGGTGCACCAGGTGAGGCATACCTGTAAATAGAAACATACAAACTATGCCAGTTGTGGTCACTCAGATGTGGTGTGTGAGTGTGTGTGTGTGTGTGTGTGTGTGTGTGTGGGGGGGGGGGGGGGGGGGGGGGGGGTTGTAATGATTTAACCATCAAATTGAGCCTTTCTGCCTCTCCAGAAGCTGATAGCATCTACACCCTGACTCAACTCTACTGTAAAATAACAAGATGGCAGAGCGTAAACAAACATGTTTGTCAAATGATACCGCCGTGGTGTTCTTTCATTTTAAGACACCCACTGCCTCAATAAAAGGACCTATACCAATCTTTAAAGCTGTGTCAAAGCCTCTATTCTTCAGCTGTCGGCTCACCCTTCCCCCACCGTGACCTTTGCCCTTTTTCATGACTGTGGGTCAAAAGGTCGAAGCCTCCTGAAATGCTAGTTCCCTCCTACTAGAGTCTCCATCGTCCCATCTCCTCAGTCTTTTCTCACATGCCTGCATCATGTGCATGTAAAACAATATTTTAAACCTCAACTATGTTCATGATGTGAAGATAAATGTTCTATCATCACTTCTTCTTTTTTCTTCAATCCAAATCAGAAACTTCCTGGTGTAATCCCTATTCAGTCTCATCTGTAGGAAACAACAGGCAGAAGCTCTTAATATGTTAGAACAAAGCTCACGTACAGTGAAATTAATATTTGCTTTTATTTGTGCGCCAAGTGAACTCTGTAAAACAAAAAGTATGTTTTTTTTTTATTTTTCCCATCAGTCACATGCAACATCTATCCCAAAACGACATTATCATTTGTAAAGTTGATCAGGATGGTGATGAGAGGATGCAGGAGTAGTTGATGCAAGACAATAATCGTGGAGTGTACTGTAGAGGTCGTTAAACCTCATTGCTCAGCAGTCGGTCGAGGTGATAAAAGAGCTTTCATCACACACCACTGCTTATCCAAGAAACCTGCTTTCCGGACATCAAAAGTGCTTCCTGCTATTTGAGGCATTTCCCGTCAGCTCTCAGTCATTCTGTCTCTCCTTGTGCAGGCGGATCACATTTTTATTGTTGTTGAACTGTCTCAGTTGCAGGCTCCGGCGTTTGGAAGTTAGCCACAGAGATGGTATCGCTCCATGAAAGCGAACAGAAAGTGTGTGAAAGTGAACGACTTTCCTATCGGGAGCTGCTGACGGGTCCCAATCCAAACACTCTTGCACTCACATTCACCTATTGTCTGGGTTCCTGCAGTCTGGGTTGAACAGCGCCATTACGCTCACATGCAGAACAGGTCTGTGACCTCACTGACCAGCACCTGGGACAAAACCCTACCTGCTGCAGCTTCTGGCAGATCACCGCTGGGGCGCCGGCCTGTTTGCTCATTGGTGATGCAGCGAGGTTTTTACATGGCTGTTTTAAATACAATCTAATTTTGACTCTAAAAAAGTGTTGTTGTGAGTCAACAAGCAGAGTCATAAGTCTGTGAAATTTCAAGGTTTCTGGCAACTGCATTTTTCTAGCATAAACCAAAAATTAAATGTGTTCAAGAATTTAATTCATGATCCCTTATGTGTTTCAGGCTTACTTCATATGGACAGTAAGCCCAGGATCCCATGTGTTAGCGCCTTCCTCTCACTGGTGTGTGGTGTCCATAGTGACACTGGCAGCAGCTTTAACATTTCTGTAGTTTTGAATGATCGCAAAGCGCTTTGGAGTCCGAAAAGTGTGCAGATCACTTATCAATACATTAATTTGTAACTGAATGAAATGACTGTTTTCCACCAAAAGTCATTTTCCCCCTCTCCTCTGACACAGAACTAGTCTGCATGAGATATGGCCTCAAGGTCTCATGCATTTGCTTCTAAAGTGCTTCTTTCCAGCTCAAGAGAAGAATGAAGAAAGGACTCTCTCCTTTTAATAAATCAAAGTAATAATTCAATAATTTTTAATAAAGCTAATCAAACAAAGTGTTAGTCAATAATAAGATATGACTAATCTGTGAAATCAAAATATTAATTACTTTATTATAATCCTACAGAATATAATAAGTAATATGACTTTAAATGTTCCACTAGAGACTGATCTCACGTAGCGTTAAGACATGACACATTATTTTACTGATCCAATCAGAATCTGCCAGATCTGACGGAGGCGTGGTTTTGGTGGTGCTTGGTAAATCTGTTATCTGTTCATTCGACCATAAACCAAAACGCGTATTAAACTGTGCCCACGTCATCTTTAACGCCAGTTCAAAGCGTTCTAGAGAAGTTGTCGGAGTGGCCAATCCGTAATTTTCCTCTTCAGCCGAAAGAACCAACGACAAGCTGGATAAAATCTGTTGCCGTCCCACCTGCTGCAACGGTTCATTTCAGAATAACAGCTGAACCAACACGACCCCGTTTTGGGTCTTGTTAGATGCCGATAAACTGTCGTGACCCGGAAGAATCTCAAGACTGGTGGTCGGCTGCCGCGGCTGTTTCTGCAGGTTTCGGCTCCACAAAGGTCAAGCTGGACCTCTACACCTCCTGATCTAGACGGGGACTTCCGCTAAGGGTACGTAGACCGACAGAATGGCGTCAAATGTGTTTATGAATCTCCTAACCAAAGCTTAGCACGAAGACATCATCTTCACTTCCCACCAGAACTAATCGTTTTTTCGGATTTGCTGGTTCTGAGCAACATTCCACACTACACCATTCTCCGTCTCATTCACCTTAGTTACACCCTACATTTAGTGTTTAAGTTAGTCTAGTTTTAATTTGTTTAGTAATAATTCTTTAAACTTTTAAAACTTGACTCTCTTCTGTGTTCTCTGACTTAATATGAAGTGTTACATAATCGCTGCAATAAAAAGTTCCAATCTTCTGGTTAAACAGTACCCACAGATCCATAAGGTTGATTTCATATGTACTATGGAATCTTATGTCTTATTAAAAAGCATGTAAATTAAACCATTACAAATTATACAGCTGATACATTAAAACATTCTTGGTTTATATTTTGACAGAAGTCACAAAAGTACTTTCATTCTGGTAGTTCGATGCATTGGTACCTTTCAGTGTATTTTCAGAAATGATCTAGTTTCTTTACACTCAATAGTTCTTGTTCTCACTTCCTGCATACTCTTAAAATATATAGCTATCTACTTTTATAACTAACTAACAACACCAAAAGTTTCTTTCTAAATATCAAACACACGACAGAGGAACAAAACCTTTAAATGTGGAACGGAAACTCCATCACAAGATCAGCGTGCATCATCTGTGTCTGTGAAGGTATCGGAGACCAGAGACTTTGGTCAATATAGCTTTTTATTTCAGCAAATCATACATACACTGTAAAAAATGCATCTGTTTGATAACCTAATCAGAGCTGTGACGTGTGAATGGTTGAAGAGTGGCTACAGTGTGCAAGGTCATCAAAAATTATTTGCATGTCACCGCACTCAAAAAACACTACGAGGATGAAACGCTTTCCAGTTTTTACAAATTTCAATTCAGAGTTAGAAGGATCAGAAAAAAATTAAATAATAATAACAAAAAAAGTACTGTTAGATGGCACTTCTCGAGTCATGACATTAAATGATAGTTTTGATTTAACATGAAGCCGAGTGGCGGATTACTGCAAATTAATGTAGGAGCAAAGCTGATCCCAGGTCTGCATAAACGTGACTTAATAACACACACACATCTGAGATCAGACGCTGGGAGATCCACACTATAAATAGTTACAGCAGATAAGATCGAGCTACTGAAAGCAAACACTTGTAAGATGATCGTCCCCTGCTTGAAGGGACCTTTCCTCTAGCCAGTGTAGATTCTAAATAACACCATTTTCATATCCAGCAGAGTGTTTATGTGCCTTCAGCATCGGTGTGCTTCTCTGCATTCTAGCTATCCTATGTTACAAAGCGTGTGAAACGAGGTCCATGTGACACCGTCACCCCAAACCAAAACAGTTTAAATCTGTCCAGTTAGCATGCTTCTCCTTCCATCACCAGTTAAAGGCACACCTTCCCCTTTAAGCTCCGCCCAGTTCACTCAACAAGTCTGCATGGCTCTGTGTTTTACCTATTTTTTTTATTTATTTATGTATTTATGAAATTTTTTTCATTTTTCTAAATGTATTTAAATGTGCAAGAATTTTTTGTTACATGAACCTAAAATCATACCTGCAAATATAAAAACATCTACAATCTGTTTTCTTTTGCTTTTCCGATCACTGGCCTGTACACGTGTAGCTTTATCTGTACACATTTGAGGGGATTTTTTTTATTTTATTTGTTTTTTTTGGGAGGGGGGGGGGGGGGGGGTTGTTAAACACAACTTGTTTTTTATTTATTTATTTATTTTTTTGTTGGAGCTCCTCAAAGGTTTTTGGCCTCTGAAATATTATCACGCAGTGTTCCACATGTTAAGACAAATCTTTTTCATCTTCAGTATTCATCTTACACTGGATTAGAAAAATAGATAACAATAATCCCTCCTGCACCAGAATAACAAACTCCAGCCCACCCCACCCTCACCCAGACTGCGATGATTTGAACAGCTAGCCTTTTTATTTTTGAAATTTTATCCGACATACTTTACTTTTCTAACTAATTGCTCTGTTTAATTGTAACCTCTGACGAAGCTTGTCTAAGTCTTATCTTGTTTTTCCTCAAAGTTACAGTCACGGTTAGAAATCGAGATCAAAAGAAACCTAAAGAGCGCAGTATTTCTCTTATCTACATCATCGACATCCCACCTATACACGAGAACATTTGATACAGATAAAAAGGATCGGATGGGGGGGGGGGGGGGGGGAGATGGAGGGAAATCTCGTTGTTCCTTGAGCGTCAACACACGCAGACATCAGAGTGCTGCACAAGGACACGACACACTGAGAGACATGGACCGTCCAGTGAAAGGAGACGTGACCAGATCCAAACAAATTGACTGGTTCTCTGTTAAATCGCCTCGGGCTCTCTTGTTGGTTGACACACGGGTGTACAAGTATATTTTCGACTGAAGAAAGGAGGAAAAACCATTAAAGATTTTCCAAAATACAGTATTTTTTCTGCTTAAATGATGAAGAAAGAGTACACAGAAAATAGTACAAAAGGATGTTAGTATGATGAATAATCTGCCCGGGGCGTCACTTAGAAACGTGCAGTTTGACCAAACATACAGTTTTAAAAATGTTTCTTTTAAGTTGTTAATTTAGGACAGATATTCATCAATGTCGTCATCCTCATCCTCATCTTCACCATCCTCGTCGTCCATGCCTGCCTGGTCACTGGGGACAAAAGAGTCTTCATCGTCGTCAGTAAAGAGTGAGTCTCCACTGCCGAGGTCCCCAGAGGACTCCAAAATGACGCCTAGGAATGAACAGAACCAACGACACGCTTAAGGAGATCATTCCACATTTTAAAAGATGATGTTGGTAAATGGCCTGTTTGTATAGCACCTTCTTAGGGTTCTACATCCCCCCCAAGGTGCTACACAACAGTCAGTTATTCACCCATTCAGAAGCTGGCTATTATGAGCTACAATGTAGCTACAGCTGCCCTGGGGCGCACTGACGAAAGTGAAGCTGTCACACACAGACGCCACCAGTCCCTCCAACCACCACCAGCAGGCAAGTTTGGTTAAGTGTCTTGCTCAAGGACACAACAGCAGAATTATTGAACCTGCAACCTTCCAATTACTGGACGACTTGCTCTATCTCAAGAGCTACTGCTGTTCTATGTTGATTTGATTTTGGACAAAGGAAAACCACCAGTACCCTAACCCCAGTGGGGAAAAAAAAGATTTACCAGACTGATTACGTTTGGACAGAATTACGACAGTTGGTTACAAGGTGAGCTAACTTGGGTAGAGCTTTGATTTGGGTCCGTTAAATCTCTCATTCACTCATATTTCAACACATCTGCAGTGGTCTCTGGTATAAACAAATGCATTGTGAGTTGTTCTCTGTTAAAGCTCTGGGGCTGCTTCAGGAAGTAGAAATTAGCCATAGGAGTGTTGGGTGGCAGAAAGAAATCACGATATTCGTACATCTCGCCTCCGATAACGGCAATGCAACTCTACCAAGGACACAAATAACACAACCCTGAATGTTTTCCACCATGTTATGGAGATGCTAAAGCTAACGATTAGCTCCATCTAGCCGAGCATTTTCTCGTCTATTTTTTTTCAAGTGGCTAATGCAGGAAATAGGGGTAGGAAACAATTTTCAGGTGCAGTCTGCATGTGAAACTCTGAAGGGCCAATCGCATGTCAAAACGAACGCGTAAAAAACGGTTTCTCTGTGAACTTGCGGTTCTACAGCTGATTTAAGTTGAAATCGTCCTTTTGGGCAGCTACTTTGAGGTTTTGCACTAATCTTTCCTCTGAAAAGACTTTTTAATTATAGTTCAAAATGTTATCAGAGATTGTTTAACGAGCCAGAGGATGACCACTTCTTCTTTTGCTACAGAAGCAAAGAAAACTACAGGCTGAAGAGAAATCTACTGGTGCGATCTGTGACCGCTTTCTTTTGTTCAAACTACCAAAACAAAGTAGGCATCATTTATTCCCTCCGTAAACACAGAAAACTGGCACAGAGCTCCTCGGGTTTGTGTTTGCATACCGCAGTCTGCAGGGCCGTGGGTGCGCGAGCCTGCCACCTCGTTGCCATAGCGATCCACACACCAGCACTGGCCGCTGCTGCTGTGACACTGGTGGGATCTGTAGTAACCGTCTTCGTCACAGGACGGCAGATACTGACCTATAGAACGGAGTCCAAAACACACACGGGGACGCACGATGAGCTGGAGAGGCACCATGTTTAGTGAGCGGGAAATACGCTCTCGTCTTACCGAGTAACTTCTTCCCAGTTAGCTTTTTGTTGATACTGGAGAGCTCTGCTTTACACGGAGAATCTGGGAGGAAGTGAAATAAAAGAAACTTTGGTAACAAACTGCAGATGTCTGCTTTATTTCCAGCGAGGACATCTGTGTGTCTTGTTTGTTTTGGTACCTTTTGTCTTTGTAATGATTTTTATCACCCTGTTAGTGGAGCAAGAAGCTCATTATAAATAACAATTTTTATTAAAAAACAACAATTTTCATCTCTGTTCTGTTATAATTGTGTTTTATGCCGTTTTTGTGCAGCATTGTGTTGTTTTTGTTGCATCTTGTGCTTTGCGGAGTTCGGTAATGAGCTTCACAACATGAAAATTATTAATCCGACCAAACAGAAAGCTCTTTGCTGATTGCTTCTGTGTCGGAGCATGACAGAAAAGTCTTGAATTATTACAACCTGGAGCAGAACTGGGTTATTTCAAACCAAAGTCACAAAAAGGAGTTCAAATGAAGGCAACTGGACTTCTTTGGTTTCTTGAAGACATTTTGCGTCTCATCTGAAGTGCTTTGTCGATTCTGACTGGATTAATCTTCCACATTCCAGTCAGAATTGACAAAGCTCCTTATAACCTTTAGCTGTCTGTTGCTTCTTAACGAGCTGAAACTACCTATGAATACCCCTCCTCCATGCCCCCCTGGGAGTCATTGATGTCTTTAGATCCTATTGTGTTAGACATTAGACTGACATTAGCTGCCTTCAAGAGCACCGGAATGTTTTCCGATGGCTTGGCTGCTGAAGTGGTCCATTCCATGAGTCCACATGGGAGCACCGAGCCACTAGAGAACCAGAGTTCCCATCACTGAAGTTCTGAACACATGTTCGACTCTGTAAAGTGCCTTAAAATGACTCTTGTTGTGAATTGGCACTAAATAAACAAACTGAAATGAACTGAATTTAAAATGTTGCTTTTGCAGCTGAGAACAAAGCCACACCATACCTGTGTATCTCTGGAAGCCTGTGCACCACTCGGAGCTGGTTATGACTTTGTCGGGGTGTGTGTCGCATGTTTTGAAGAAAGCATCAGAGCAAGGCTCATTCCTGTCCAGATAGAGGCTCTTGATCTCTGACTGGTCCAGCTGTAGGTCAAAGTTCGTGTCCAGCCGGGAGAACATCCAGCCCAGAGGGTCCTTACAAACAGGTGATGCGCCCACCTCAAACTCTGTGGGAATGTTCATGTAATGTAGTTAGAATTTATTTTGTGCAACATTTAGGCCATTCGCACGCGTAACCCCACCATTCAAGGAAAAACAGCTCCGCTCGTTTTCAGCAAAAAATGCATAGTGAAGCATTCACTGCCACCTGTAGGCGGCAGTATTTCACCAAATCTGTGGTGTCATTGCCGAAAAAATATTGTTTGAAATAACTAGGAAGCAAGCAATGGCTGTCCTTAACATCATCCTTCATCGGTGGTCTTCTACATAGAGCAGGAATTGTGCTAGCAAAAACAAGCTAGTGCAGTCTAGTGATGTCAGAGGTTTTTCGCAGTGATGTTGGGAAACCTAAAACCTGTTATGTCCACAAGAAGATGCTAACAAAGGAAAATTCACAGATCTCTTTGATTAGTGTTTTTGAAGGAATGGTGTTTCCCTTCACTCTCATGTATGGCGGGCCAAACCGTACAGAAATCTCTTTTTTTTTTTTTTTTTGGATGTCCGACTACGTGTGGACAATTACTAAATGAGGGATGCTGAGCTTGGAGACTCACTGTTCTTTTCTGGCTTTTGAATCTTGACTCTCTTGTGGTTGCCATTCTCATGCAGCACTCTGAACCAGTCCCTCAGGCGGCTCACCACCCCCTTCAGATCCGTCTCGCTGCACACTGAGGAATAATAATGATTACTGATGGTAAAATGAGGCCTCTGCTCTCTGAGATCAGGACTCAGCTGCCTGGACTTTCTCTCAGATTCCACTTTAGCAGAGGCCCTACTTTCTTACATAGCCTCGAACGAGGTGGTAAAATATAAAAACTGTGACACTATTAATATGCCTTGTGCAGGCTATTTCAAGAAGACTGGCCATTGATTATTTTTGGAAGCGTATACCTTTTTTCTCTGAAGATGTCTGCTCAGGGTGAGAGGGACATGGACACATTCCAGGACACTTCAAAGTAATCTTCTTTCCTGAGATGCACACCTGGTAGTCGAGCTTACACTGATCAAGAGAAAGAGAGGCAGATGAGGCCTAATCACGATGTGTCAGGATGTGAAGTTTACAGAGCAGAGGGGAAAAGCTGCATCATATTCTGATTTTATACCGTTTAATAACACGCTTAGCTTTACCTTTTAGCTGCACAGTACACCAAAAGCGCAAAAAATGTTGCAAAAGGTTTCATTCAATATAAAACAAGAGTTTTCCTCCCCACTGTCGCTACGTGCTTGCTTATTATGGGGATTGCTGTGAAGTAACTCGTTTACATGCGCATTAGAAAACCAAATTATCGGTCTCTTTCAGATGATGTAATCATGCTGTTGCATGATGGGATATCTGGGATAGGGTTTTGAGCTTATAAACCTGCAGAAGATGATACACGCGTGTTGTGTGAAGGGCTGCTATGCCAGGTCACACAACTACAAGAAGCAAAAAGTTGATAACGGCATAACATTCTTTTTGGTTTCCTTCTTGGAAAATCCACATATTTTTACATCACGTTCATTCTTATGTGTACAGAGTTATGAATGGTTACCATGGCTCCCTGAAAAGCTAAATCAGTGAAACTGGATTTATGCATTATATTTACCTGGAGTTCCATAATTATTCCCAAGCAATCATATCACACGTAGCAGCTCCACCTCTGCTACATCCAAGGCTGGAGCCTGGCTGGCATCTTAAAGCATCTCTGCTAAATCTACTGTGTAACATGGAACTGTCCGTAGTGTAAATGTTTTTAAAACATTTTTATACAAACTGCTGTGAGCATTTTGGAGATTGGAGCTAATGAGAGCATAAAGAGGTGGGTTTCGGGTCAGGAATGTTGTGTTTCCATGAACCTCACTGGTCTACTTTGACTTGTTTCTGTGTGGAAGTCTGTAAATGGTAAATCTGATGACCCTGATGAAGCTCATATGCAAAGGTGGATTTATTCTCGATCTAATGATTGAATCAATCAATCGATCGATCGATCCATCCATCCATCCATCCATCCATCCATCCATCCATCCATCCATCCATCCATCCATCCATCCATCCATCCATCCATCCATCCATCCATCCATCCATCCATCCATCCATCCATCCATCCATCCATCCATCCATCCATCCATCCATCTATCTATCTATCCATCTATCTATCTATCTATCTATCGATCTATCGATCTATCGATCTATCGATCGATCTATCGATCTATCTATCGATCTATCTATCGATGTATCGATGTATCGATGTATCGATCTATCTATCGATCTATCTAAACTTGAATGACTTAATGATTTAAAAAGTGAAATCAAACTAGTCTGATGCTTTTCCCCTCATGAACCTGCTGCTGTGTTGATCTGATGGGAAAACTACAAGTGTGTCAGTCTACCTTAGTGGAGTAAGTGTGGCCGTCACTTCCACAAACTGGCGACGGATGAACCACGGGGCAGGGTTTGCACTTTGACCCTGGACTCTGGTACACATTGGCATCTTTAAAACTGGAAAGAAGATTGAAAACACGTTCACATGCTTGTCCACGTCCTTAGCCACACAACGAACACCAAGCTGAAGGCTTCACATCAAGGACAATCTGACAAAGTCTTGTAGCACACGGGAAGCTTCTTGTGTCTCTGATGTCATGTTATGTTCTTACATCAATTTTAGAAATGAGATGAGGATTTGAGATTTATGTGTGATTGTTTTTTTGTTTTTATTTTCTTGCGCTGTGTAGCGGGAATTGCGTTGCTACTAAGGGCGGGAAATGAGGTCAGGTTGGTGTTACTGTTCTCTGTCCAGTCTGAGGCATCCCAGACCCACACACACACACCCAGCCCATTCATATCACTTGGCAATGTCCGCTGTAAGTTAGTGCCAGCACCGGGGTAACTGGAACAAACTGTAATGTCACACAACAGCCACAAAAGAGTCGGGAAGCCAGAAGACCAGCTGGAAAACAACTCAAATTAACAGCAGTTTATTTGTTATTGTGGATTTTTGTGTTTGAAACAAACACAATGTGCTCAAATTTTACAATCATTTAGGGATTTTTGTGTTTTTTTTCTTCCAAAAACAAAAAGTAAAATTGTAAGTCTGTGTGTGCATGCTTACCTAACTCTCCTTTGACTGACACAAGTGGCAGTCTTGTAATCCTCAGCCACACACACCTTGTGTCGACTGCATTTGATCTTCAAGCAGGGGTCTTTGGCTGGATCAAGTCCTAGAAACACAGAACAAGGATTTACTCTCTCTCTCTCTCTCTCTCTCTCTCTCTCTCTCTCTCTCTCTCTCTCTCTCTCTCTGTCTGTCTGTCTGTCTGTCTGTCTGTCTGTCTGTCTGTCTGTCTGTCTGTCTGTCTGTCTGTCTGTCTGTCTCTCTGTCTGTCTGTCTGTCTGTCTGTCTCTCTGTCTGTGCACGTTTTCACTACAACATAACTAAAAGCTTTCCAGACAACAGTAAAGAAAGCCCGTGAGTGAAAATAAAGATCCTCTGAGCATAAATTTTATTTTTCTATTTTAAATCAGAAACAATTCTAGACCGTATACCCGAGCTGTGGTTGTGTGTTTGTTCTAGTCACTGGTGTTGCTACACTCAAATCTGTAATACCGTTGTGTTCTTAAAGCTCAAAACAGATGGAGCTGGTGTTAGAGACTACATCTTATCTCACATCAGCTCCTCATGCTCGGGCGTGCCCTCAGAGAGATCCTCAAACTGACCTTGAGTCAGCTGAGAAGAGAGCTGATTTCATGTCCAGATCTTTGGGCAGATGGTAGAATCTACAGATAATCAAGGTGTTCCTGATCCAAAGTCAGCCTTTAGCGGGACACCTTTGAGCAGAATCAGAAGCCCTCTGCTGGTCTGAGAACAGCTAGTGAACGACCTCTGCTCTAAAGAACCTTACTGTAATCTCTGAGCAGCTTTGGCAGATTATCCTGCCTCCATCCTCCAACGCACTATCTAATGCTATTGTTTCCCTGACGTGACTCTCTCTCTCTTTCTGTGTGTGTGCATTTGAGAGTGAGTGTGTGAGAGGATACATAGAGAAGTGAGAGGATGTGTTCATGTCCTGGTGTGTCTGGATGAGTGTGAGGGATTATCGCTGTCTGTAATACAAATAGAAATGAGATGATCAAAGAATAGTAAATCCTCCGTCTTCTTTTAGCTGGCTGCTTTGGTTAAAACCGGAAGAGAAAACATTCAAGCTGCACGTGTCGATTTATGAATTTAGAAAAAGGACCTTCGACTGCCTTTCAGCAGATATTGCATGAGTTTGTAATCTTAATTTGACTGTTTTATCCCCCAGATTAAAACAAATCATGAATAATTACATGAATGCTGCTCGGTTGTCATCTTATGTGATGCAGATTTTCATAAAAAAATATTAAATTAACATCCAGAATACAATTATTTATGCCAAGGGACAAAACAGGAACATATCAAGACCGCTAGCAGAAGCTAACTTTTAGCATTAGCAACTTCACCACAGAGCAGAGTTCCTCCAGGCTTGTGTTATTTGTGGAGATAAAACATCCATGTTGTGAAGCGAACGGAGTCAGTGGTTGAGTCGCATTGCTGTTAGCCAATCAGAGGCAAGATATCCAGAAATCAATTCTGTCATGTTCTACCCCACACTCCTCCGGCTCACTTCTGCTTCCTGAAACAGGAGCGTGAGAGTTTTTGTCCCACAGAGATCGACTCACAAGGCATTCATTTATACTAGAGACTACTGTAAATGTGTTGGGAAAAAAAACAGTGAACTTGGTCTTTAAGCTGAAATTCTCAACAGAAAAGCCCTACAGATCACCACGTGTTCGATGTGAACCAATAAAAACGACAACTGCAACAAAAAAATTACTATATTTCTGCACTTGTGTGTTAAATTGAACTAAACTTCAAAAATCAGGTGCACCCAATTCTCTGAATGAGCCTGGACATAAATAATATTAAAGTGAATTTTTGAGCCTGACTTCGTTTTGAATATTATTTACCAACAACTTTCAAACGTTACTGTTGTCTGCATGTTATAAGTAAAGTTTGTTATCAAATTCAATCAACAATCAGCTGACAGCTTCATTTCTGTATTCACACTCACTTTGATCAAATGGTTTGGGTGGAGTCCATGTTCCCGGCTCCTGAAACACAGGAAGTTGTTATTCACCACATTTTAATGAAATTACATCGGTTTCAGTTGTTATTACAGCACATTATAGAAACAAGCAGAGCAAAGTGAGCCATACAAACCTCAACTTCCTTTGGGAGAGAGCATTAGAAGGACAGAGAACAAGGAATTAATTCTGATGATTAACACCAAACACATGAAAGCAGATGTAGGGAGCAGGGATTTAGTCGAGGTGTTTTTCAATTGCAGTTGGGTCCAACTTCATCCGGAACGTTCCTCAAAGAAGATTCTTTATTGTCCTCAATCTCAACTTTCAACTCGCAAACTTTACTTCAGAACAACTGTTGCTAAATGCATGAGAGAAAACGATGTTTGAATGAAGCTCACATACTAGAGGACTGAGAGCCTTCTGTTGACAGGTACACACACTTTATTGCATCTTTTTGTATTTGCAGGCGAGTGCTCTTGTCAGTTTCAGAGTGTCCAGGTCAGATGCTTCTGCTGATAAACGTGATGTGTTTATGCTTGTTTTAAAGCCGTTCTCCGCCTCACGGCACTCCAGTCAGATCAAAACCAGGAACTACTGGGTCATTAGAAGTCAGACTACATGTAGTTTGCATGCAGACAAATGCAGGACTTTAATGTTGCTACTGCAAAGACCAGGGCCATGTCTAGGGAGCAGCATACGCCACCCTTGAAATCTGATTGGCCACCCCAGTTACCACCCCACTGAGTTCCAACTAAACCGACTTTAACTTTTGGCACAATTTGTGTTTGTGCAGCACCTTCTAAAGTTTGGTTTATGCTTAACGCATTCACTTTCCGCGCAGTGATGCGGCTCGCGGATGGAACGCGCTTCACAACTCGCAGCGTTTATGGTTTGTGCGGCTCGTCTCTGCGGTGAACAATATTCTCCCAAACTGTAGGAGGCAGCATGGAGCTCTACGGCATGCATCCAACACTACACCTTAGTAGAAGTAGAAATTACTGTTTACAACACGGCATTTCAGCATTTTTAACAGCGTCCTCGTCTTTTCCGACAGTGCGAGCTATTTCTCTCCAAGAATTATTAACAACATGTTGATCCCGGTGATCTCTGAGAGCTGAATCATACAAATGTCTGTATTTACGAACCTCTGCCATACTAGTTCTTGCCAGTCCGCCATGTTTTTCCGCGTCCGTCCGTCCGCGTGGTTAGAAATTTTCCGAGGTGCGCGTCGCGGAAATCTTGGACCGTGCGGAGACGCGGTGGAGGGGCGTGGTTGTTAAAATGACGCAACTTTTCCGTGCGGACCTCGCGGACGCGTCAAGCATAAACCAACCTTTAGGGTTATACAAGTCATTCACCTATTCATACTGTGGGGATGAGCTAAAGTGTAGCTACAGCTGCCCCGGGCGCACTGACAGAAGTGAGACTGCCGAACACTAGCGCCACCTGCAGGCACGGTGGGTTACATGTCTGGTCTAATGACACAACAGCAGAATTCTCATTGAATGTGTTTTGTCCTCACAGGCTCACGTAGAAGAAAACATTGTGTATAATATGGCTTCACCCCAACACTTAGACCCGCTCCCATGTATTTTAGACCCAACTTTTATGGTTATGTTACGAGACCGCCAACATTTTTCAACTGGGCATCACTGAATTCATTTTCAAAAACATTTTGATGGATATTTCCAAAGATTATTGGTAAAAATTACACATTGTGTCTTTAACATTGTTTCCAGCCCCAGGCCAACAGAACAATTCTGTATCATTTTTATTCTTAACATTTTTTTCATATTGACATAAATAGTATTTTGAATCCCAGTCCCATTCCCACTCCACTCCAGTTGGTGGCGGTAATGCGCCAAGCGGCGCCAAGCAATGGCTTACCAAACACAATAAAACAGCTCGAAGAAGTAGAAAACAGAGAAAACTATTTATGGCACAATGTGGAGCTCATAAATTCTCAGAAATGAAAAAGTAATGGTTTTGTGAGAGGTGACACCCCCACTACACCCCATCAAAAAAAAAAGCCTAATCACAGGTGCCACCCATGCATTAACAAGTGTCCCACCTGGGCCACCCATTTTGAAATGCCTGGACACGCCACTGCAAAGGCATAGAAAGGGGCCAAAGAGAATGACCATCCATGTTGCATTATAAAAGCAGAAGTCTGGTGGTGACCTTTCAGTCCTCAGTAGAAAGGACATTCTTTGGTCTAAAAGCCTCCAAATTAGCTAAGAAAAGCATAAGACGGCAAAGGCAGGCTTTTATGAGACAGAAAACCCCACAAGCTCCTAAAGCACTCCATAGTCCAGTCTTGACCTGAAATCCTGTTGCTTCCTGTTTAATATACAAAGGCTCCGAGCTTAAAGCACCAAACAGAAGCTGAATAATGAGTAACATTTAGTGGCAACGGCAGCCATTTTTCAGCACTCAATCAAATGCTGCTTACTGAATTAATATGAAAATCTTCTAAATTAAAAATGTCAAATGTAAACGATTTCCACAGTGCCTTCAAACGGCACATCTCGTTTAACGAAATGCTTTACACAAATTTCCCCCCAGGAACTGACTCAGAATGTGATCCCACCGTCTATATAAGGAACGGACAAAGGTGAGCGATTTGTCGGCTTTTAATAGCCAAAGCAGCTCCCAGCAGGTGCAGGCTCACGATTCAGATGTTAAAGCAGATTAGCTAACAGAGATGTGTGTTTGACTCAGTGAGCTCAGACGTCCCCTCTGTGCGGAGATCTAGTCAAACTCAACTCTGCGATGTGTCCGCTCTGATTTTATCCTGAGATCAATTCAGCTTGTTGTCATTTGTATTATTATTTATTTTGTTTGTTTTTAATGATCACACTTGTGAGTTTCACTTTCAGAAAAACTCAAGACACAAGCATTTTCTGGTGCAGAAACACAAGTCTCAGTTCCGTAGTGAATTCAGCATTTTTCCTGCTCATTGTTGTTGTTGAGGGTTTGAATTCCTGGCATTCCTTCAACTATTTGCATTACAGCAGCTTTGGCTTACATGCTGATAAAGGAGATGCTTTCAATGCAAATATTTAAATCTGAGACCTAAAATCATTGGGCTTGATTAACTTTAGGTTCAGGTTAAGCTTTAAGGATAAGAGAGTTAATCAAATCAAGGTTTTGGGTAAAGTCAATTCACTGTTTCAATCATTCAAATAACATCCAACCTATGGACATGTGCACCTTTATATGCAGGCATGATGAGCAAACATCCAATAACATGCATTATGTAATGGATAGCATCAATTTCAGGGATGATATGAATCATATTTGAGTCACGGAAGAACAGAAAAGATTCATTAACCTTCAAAATTATTTATTTCCATTTAAGTTAATAGTTTATGTCTTTTGAAAAGGGTTTCTGTAGAAATGATTTGAAAATGTAATACCATACCTGAACAGACAGAGCTGTTTGAATGGCAGCAGTTCAGAGAAACAGAGATTTTTTCTGACTGAGTTTATTAGCTGGCAGTTTGGTCTGAAAGGGAGCCCTAAGCTCAGTTTTTGCTTGACACATGTACAACCCGCGTGGAAACGAGACGTGAGTCAGACTTTGCAGCGTTTATGGTTCCTGTGGCTTGTCTCTGCTGTGAGCCAATATTCTCCCCAACTGTAGGGGGCGGCATGGGGCTTTACTGCATGCCTACAACACCACACCATATTAGAAGTAGAAATCACTGTTGTTTACAACATTATTTCACTGTGTCCTCGTCTTTTCCGACTGTGACAGCAATTATTAACATTTTGATCACGGAGATCTTTATGGACCGAATCATAAAGATGTCTGTACTTACGAACATCCGCCAATACGTGCGCTTGCCAGTCCGCCATGTTTTTCCTTGCAGGACCGTCCACGTGGTTGGAAAATTTCCTAGGTGCGCGGTGCAAAAAATTAGTGCTGCGCGGAGGGGCGTGGTTTCTAAAATGATGTAATTTGGTCGCACAGAGCCATGTGGACGTCGCAGATGCGTCAAGCATAAACCAAGCTTTAGTCTCCACCCTGTCCGGTCGACTCGTGGGTCCCCGAAAGAACAAAAATATGAATGCAAGTCAACGGGGCTAAAAGAGATATTTTCTAATCCGCTTTGCCTTACGCCCTGGATGGATATGTTGTACTGCAATTCGACCAGGCTGGTCACTTACATTGAGATTTATCAGCTTGTAAAAGTTCGTAATTAGCATGACTACATTGGCACGTCGCACATGTAACATCACCACAAAATCTCCTCTTCCCTAGCGTAGCTGCTACTTACCACATGGCCAGATTTATGGTAGTTGTTTCCTCCTGTGGGCAGGATTCGAAGTTTGCTGAACTTACAGTAATTTTCCCTCAGTTTTCTCCGTGTCTGGTTCGATGACGTCACTTTCGTGAAGCGCATTTGTGGTCCTGGACTTATTTTCACACAAAACCTAAAATAGCATTTCCCCCGTTCAAAAATAAATTAATTCTCGGTATTAGAATTTTAAATTCACGGACATCACGTGTGAAATCCATGGCACATAACAAGCGGAATTAGAAAATAGCATTTTTAGCCCCATTGACTTGCACTCATTTATTTTCGTTCATCTGGGGACCCGTGGTCCGGATGTACGTGGGCTTAGGCTCCCTATGGGGACCAACAACAAAAGGATTGGTGCCATTTTGAAAATATTTTCTGGTTAAAAATGTCTCAGTGGTTGTGGTAAAATTTGTTTGCATGTCCACCCAGAATTCTGTAGTAATAGGTAGAAACAGCAGGGGCTAGCCCTAGTGCGACACTTTGGAAACGTGTGATACAAAACCGATGGTTTTAAAGTTTATAAAAACACATAAAAAAACGGCATTGTTTTACGTTGGTAGCCATCCACTTTTCTTGCTCCTACCTACTAGCCTTTAGCTCATCAATCCACTTAGAACTCAACTCTGCTCATCTCCAAACTTTCTTTTTGGGGGCCTCTTGCAACCAAAAATAAATAAATAAGAAATAATTTGTACCAAGTGCTGTAATGATCCT